GTTTAGGGGTTCGAAGCCCTACTTCTTTTCGATTTAAAGTAAGGGTCCTGACGTTCTGAGTTATCGGATCAATCCAGGTTTGGCCTGAAGAGCGGCAAAAGATCCCCCGGGAAACCTTTTTATCAACAAAAGGCCGGAAGGAATACTCGCATCCGGGTTTGGTATTAGCAACAACAAACAGAGTCGTGCACGCAGAATCTCCACAAACACAATAGAATATAGCAAGGATCAAAGATCAAAAGTGAGGAAATATCTTTGTATTCATGAATATTCAGGTACAAAAGACCGCGAGGGGACCTTACATATGATTACAAAAGCTCACGAGGGGTCCTTACACAAAAACAAAGAAGCAGAAGGTCTACATATAATAAAAGCCTAAGAGCCTAGCCTATTCTCAAGGTGCATTCTCAATTGCAGAATTTTCGGGCATCATCTCCTCAAGCACGCGTCCTCAAAGACAATATCTTCCAAGTGCAATCCCCTCGGGAGTCTTATCTCGATTTCCCAGAATAACATCTTCAAAAGGGGAGACGACGAAGAGGAAAGCGGTGGAGAAGAATAAAGTGACGCTGAAAAGGTAGGAAGGAACGAAGAAGTGGCTGGGTGAAAAATCTGGCTAGTATGGATTTCGCCAGGCTACTACTGTAAAGCTACTTCTTGAGACGTTGCCCCGATGCGGGATGCAACAGTTAGTAGATAGTCCTACCTCACTCCATGGAAGGCGAAGGGAGCGAGGCGCCACACTGAAGAGTCATGGGAGGTGAGCAGTGGTGTATAATCCGAGCCTCCTCTTGAGCAACGATGTATAATCCAAGTATTTCCTCGGGTCGAAGGAAATCGGCCCTCTGCTTTGTCGTCCCGATCTAACAACAACAACAACAACAATGACATAAAAATAGTGTAATATCGCTCGACCAGAGAAGGTCCGGGAGATAAGCCGTAGCATGCCTGATATCGTCATCCAATCTTGAGGCCATGGGCCTCAAACATGGTGAACAACAAAGAATAAAAATAGCGGGAAAGGAAGAATGGATAAGTATGGGAAGATACTTGGGTAAAAGGCTGATCCCAAGAGGCCCCCATTTATAGAAAGAGGGGCAACGTAACCGACGGCGCCATTATCGCCCTCAAAAAACATAACGACAGGCGCATTCAATGCGTCCCTAGGAGCTGAATCGACGACAACATTATGGCTCTGAAGAATGAGAAACCGCAACGCGTTGAATGGTCCTGGAAAAGCAAAACGACGAAACATTTCGATAATCATGGAGGCTTGCGTCACCATCATGACATCATTACGGGAAGCCCGAAGAGTGGGATGTCAAAATCGTTTCTTGTCGCTCCTCTCTAAAAAATGCAGGGACTATCTGTATACGGTGAAATCAGGGGAACCAATTTCTTGTTAATAAAGCATTTCGGAAGATCACCTCGGAGGCTCGAGACCACAAATCGAGTACTCCCTCCCCCAAAGGTATATCAACATCCGGCCTGGGGATAATGTTGGCCGTGACCCCAACGGGCATGGGGAGTTTCCAAAGAGTACAGCCGGGGCCGGCAAAATCTGTCAGGCTAGTCTGAAGTTGGTCTGAACCTACATCGTGAAGATAGTCAGTTGTCCCATCCCGTTTTTTCTTTATCATTAATGTATTTTGTATTATGATGGGATTTTTCCCTCCTATATAAGGGGGATCCTTGGCACTTTGTAAACCCTGTTGCTCCCGTTGCTCCACAAGAAATATAAAAATATTCTTTTTGCTCTCTCATATTCTCTCTTGATATTATTGCTTTCATTTATTATCTTCTTATTTTGTTCATCATTTATTGCTTATCATTGACCAGAAAGAGCCTCTGTCAACCCTATTACAACTGTTGGCCACATAGTAATTACCCTCGATAGCTCGTAGCCGAGCCCGGGATCAACCTCGAGGCTCCAAATCGGCAAGCTCGAGGCCCGAGTAACCAACCTATCGGTTTGATTGTAGCTCCTTCCTTCACTTTATTTCGTCTCTAAATCTCATATACTTAGTATCAACTGCTTAACAAACCGGCATAAAAATAGATTACGTATTTTTAGAGTCTCATCAACAAATTTAATTGTTATTACCATTTTCACGGTAAACAAATATGCTTACAAATACCATATAAATTCACCGTCACCTTGTTTTCATAGCGAAGAAGAAGGAGGAGGAGGCTTGGAGTGGTCTATACTTTGAGTACTAGTTAAAAGAATTTAAAAAATGGCTATAGATTAAATGAGGACCAAATAGGGTGCCCGTAAAAATTTTACCCTATAAAGATCCGTATTTTAAATCCAAATGGATAAGCTAATAGGTTTGAATTAGGTTTCGGACATTGGGCGTTGAAGTTTGTGAATCACCACAACATGCTGTAGTGTCCTGAATTACTTGTAGCCCAAAGCTAATGTGGGTTACAAAGCAGGCCTACGGGCATGTTTTAGCTATAGTAAGAAGAAATTCATTACAGAAAAAAAGATATTATTTCGACACTTTGTAATATTATCATCAATAAACAAAGGATCCGAGACAATCCACGATTCCAACTGATCTTTAGAGAATTTCAAGAAAAACTTAAAGATTAGAGAAAATTCGATTTATTCAAAGTTAATTAATATAAAGTAATTAGCTCTAGTTATAACTTAGTATGAAAATTTTCCTAAATATCTTTAATAAATTCGATTGGGCTCGATTTGACTCGCATCCACTAGTTCGATATTCAGCTCTACTTGTGGGTGTTTGTCATAGGAAATAATTCTTATACCATCTTGCAATTTAAATAGAAAAAAATAGCTTTATAATTTTTTGTGTGTTTCATTTATACATCCCTTGTGTTATTTTTAGATGATGTGTTGTAAACATGATCATATAATTAAAATTTTGTAATGGACGATAAAACTAAATCTTCTGTGAGAATGTCAAGTATCAATCAAATGTATTATATTCGCTACAGGTATGGCAATGGATTATAGCTTTTTCCCACTCTCAACACCCTCGTTATCTTGATTCGCATTAACCTGTTTTTATAGTAATAAGATAAGATTTTGTTTTCACTATATTGGCTCTATCTCTAATTAACTAATTTTAACGTTTGTTTCAATAATGCATATTTTCTCTTAAAATTAAAACGGAATGAGTACTTATTAGATACTCTCTCCATTTCAGTTTAGAGGAAATAGTTTGTCTCGACACGGAGTTTAAGGGGAAAAAAAGAAGATTTTGAAACTTATTGTCTTAAAAGTTTAAGGGGTAAAAGCTTTGTGGGACCATATTATTTGTGTGGCTATAAAAACTTTTCATTAAGAGTAAAATAAAGTGTTTAAAGTTGAACTATTTCTAAATTTAAAAATGTGCCATTTATTTTAGAACAAACTAAAAAGGAAAGTATCTTTCTAATTTGAAACGGGGGAGTAATTACTAGTAAGCTTTTTTATAAACATTAATTAGTAGTAATATGGTATACATAGTACTATGACATTTTCACAAATTAAAATTCACTAATAATAAAAACAATTTTTATATTATCAATATGTATAATTAAAGTTCTTTAAAAATCCATCAAATCTGATACAGTGGATGTCAAGAATTGTACTACTTCTTTATTGCTTAACCTAGGGATGACTTTTCCATTACGGAGATGACTTTCGACTCATCTTATAAAGAATTGTTTTGATGGAAATCACTTTTTTTGTATGTGTGTGAAATTCTTGGACCGTCCGTCCAATTTGAAGTAAAGCAAGATTGACAAATAGCTGTCTTTGTCTTATTGCCAGCAGCGCCACTGAAATTTCAGCCTATAGTACAGTAATTCTATTTTTTAATGAATTGAATAACACTGTTACTCTAACGGCTGCTTTTAATTGGAATTTTAAAATCCCACGAGTTGGACGTGAAGCATGTGTTTATATTGTCTTCAATTTATGCTATACTCTATCAATTATATATGATCCAAGTTATCAGCATATATATACTATAATTGGGGGGTTAAATTTTTTGGTAATATTTCTTGATTGACACATAATACTTGCGTGCTAGCTGGAATAGGCTATTTTTAGGTTTCTTTTATACTTGTCTGTAGTTTAATGTAATTTTCAGAGTTGAGTTATGGCGTATTAATCCATTACGCAAAATTTAAAATGTAACATATATCGGAAATGCTATTGATAAGGAAAAAAATTAAAATCTCTCGTTAGTTAACAAGGTGATGCCTTCTAATAGCTAGAACCAACCAATGCCTTCCATCATAATTACTGTATTAGCCATTTACATCTTCTGAGGTTAGTGTCATTTGCCAAGTTATTCATCACTTCGCTCGTCTTAAATTATTTTCAAAAATTGAGGTTAAATATGAATCTTTTTTCCCTTGAAGAATTTGGTTACATCCATTTAATGCTGGAGTTGATCATCTAATGACAAGGGCAAATACGCAATCATTTGTTAACAACAAGCGTATGAATGAACCAAAAATCTAATCGGGATGGCAGAATTGAGCAGTTTCAGAGACAAATTCGGTCATTTTCCAAACAAGAAAATGGTTACATGTTATAACATGTACTCCATTTACAAGAAGTTAAGTGCAGAGGAGAACTAAACAGCCACAAAAACGAGCTCAGTAGACTACATACGGAAATCCTGCCCAAATAATTGTGAAATTAGTAATCTGTACATGCCAAGACGCATTCATCAGCTACTTTACGCCCTACCTACATTGATTTGAGTATTGTGATAACATATTTGTCACGCAAGTCAGTTCTCACATTAAAGATGGCTCGTCTTAGGATATATACTTAGCAAGATAGTTTAATCTAGGTTATTTTTTATCATGTTCATTCTTAATTTGCCCAAAATATTCATACACATAAATTTAGGTCCAGCAAATTTTTGGTAAATAATCAAGACAAGATTCACAAAAACAAAACGACAACCTAACATTGCCTGTATCACATCAGAAGGCCGTGTGGATGAAGACACATCAAATTCCCTNCATTTATAAGGAAAAACTGAACTGAAAGAGGTTAGACTAAAACAACAACAACAACTCGTTTAGTCAGAATTGACTATGTGAATCCTCACTATGCATTTTACTCTATTAGAACTATTTTATTCCAATAAAAGTTAACTACTGAAAGAAAAATTAAAGATTTCATATTTCAATAAAGATCACAAAAACCTGTAGGTGATGGGGAATGACACAACAATTTCCAATGGAGAGTCAACTGAAACTTATATCAGAGAGTTTCTGTTGGATCACATGCACATCAATCCTTGCCTGAGAGGCAACCTGTGAAAATCACAAAACAAAACGAATAATTAATGATCTTTCATAGTCAGAGAGTGGGTTGCTCTTGTGGTGAGCACCATCCACTTCCAACCAAGAGGTTGTGAATTCGAGTCAGCCCAAGAGCAAGGTGGTGAGTTTGGAAGGAAGGATGCCGAGGGTCTATCGAAAACAGCCTCTATACCCCAGGATAGGGGTAATGTCTGCGTACACACTACCCTTCCCAAACCCCACTAGTAGGATTATACTGGGTTGTTGTTGTTGTTGTCCTAGTCAGAGAGGTTAAGTAGTAAAAAGGCAATGTATGAGTTTAGGAGCGGCACAACATGATCCAAAAGGATTTAACTGAATCCCCTTACTTCGAAAGTTATTCATACTTCCTTCGTTTCAATTTATTTGAGTCTGTTTCTTTTTTAGTCCGCGTAAAAAAGAATTACCTTTTTCTTTATTTGGAAAAAATTTACCTTTATGCAATGATTTATAGCCACACAAAATATTTGTGTGCCTCATTTTACACCACAAATTCAAAAGTCTTCACTCTTTTTTTGAATTCCCTAGTTAAAATTTCTAGCTCCGCCACTGTTAATGAGTATGAAAAGAACTCAGCAATTTTCAGTAGTCATACCTCAGTTCGGATAGTATGAAGTAAACTTGTACTAGTTTTGGTGCAGCTGCAGTTCACAATGTTAAGCCCCTCTTGAAGTAATACTTCAAGAACCCTAGAAAGTCGAAAACCTTCACTCTCGACACCACAATTGACCAAAATCTCCATGCCGTCCAAGCATTGCTTCACTGTCACATTTGTAGACGACGAGGAATCACTAGTTGACGATCTACCACTTTTGGTATAATCAAGATTGCTTGAATTTGAAGTCTTGTTTAACTTTTCTCTCTTGTCTTCCAAATTCCTAACATTCTTCTGCAGGTATTCTATATAATTCGCCGCCTCAAGTATGTGTTCCGATGTCGAACGTTTTCCCTGAAAATTAATGTTCAACATTTATATATGCTTTTAGGCAAATTTAATGAGTCCATTTATGGAATATAGAATTGATCAAATTTTGCTAAATAGGAGTATAGGAATATATTAATTCAACTGGAAGAAGAAGTTGAATAAAAAGTTTCTGATTTATTACAACACTAACAACGACAAAAGAAATTAATTCATTATCTATAACATCATTTCAAGTTGGGAAATCTAAAGAAAAAAGGAACACATTTCTTGTTTCACAAACCTTAATAATTTCAAGAGGAAGCTGTTGTCGAAGAGAAGCATAAAGAGTAGCCATTTCTTGTCTTCTTTGCCGTTCGATTTCTCTATGCATGACTTTCTTCTGTTTGTCATCACTTGTTTTTTCTACTGGGAGAGAAGCAGCTGATGCTTTTCCTACCTTATTTTCCTTCTGATTGTTGTTAAAGCTGAGAGTGTTTTTGTCCGACTCCAACGGAGCAAAATCCGTTACCAGATCTTGTTGGTATAGGAAATTACAAGGGTTGTTATAAAGAAGCTCATGGGAATCATTATCGTCAACATCTTGTTGTAAAGGAAATATTGAATGGAAATTATCCATCATTCACTACTAATTCCAATAATTAATCAGTTCCAACCTTAAATAAGTATCAGATATAACCTATAAAAATCTCAATAGAAAAAGGAGGAGAGATACGTTTGTTAGGCTGTACGATTTGGGAAATCTTGAAGGGGCCTTTGATGTCAAGATTCCTGCAAGTTTTTTTCAAGAGATACTCGTGTCACCAATTTGCTTTTGACACGCTCATTAAAAAATACTAAATTCTATATAAAAATACCTAGTATGACTAAATTATCATTAATTAAATATTTAATGTGAGGAATAAATTTTTTTTAGGGATATGTACATAAAGGTAATTTTGTAAAAACAAATTGAATTCTTTCTTGATTATATAAATGGATACTTATTTTGGACCAAGACAAATTTGTTACTTCCGGAGGGAGTAATTATAAGCGGATCTCACCGGCCACTTTCTTTTAGTATCTGCGTTTGGTCACTGTTTGTAACCCAAATTCGGCTAATTAATTAGTTCACACTCGTGTATACAAAATACCCTACCTAGCTAGGGCATCCTTTAAAGCAAATTATTGATATTTTATCGAGCTCTGTGAGCAACATTTTTGTTATATATGTCAATATTGCGACTTGACCAAATATTCAAAATAGATTTATATAGTAGTTGATAAAGATTTAATTATCTTTAATTAGGTTTGCCCTGATCGTGACTTGGTGAGATATTTAATGTACTAATTAATTCTATTCGAAGTTGGTTTGACCAAATAATTGCTTGGGAGTTGTATTATTGGGTAATGCTTTTACCAAAATGTACGTCTGGTCTTATGTTTCCTCTTTTCTTTTCATGGAATAGTAAATCTTTGCGTGAAATGTCTGGAATTGAAAATTCTTATAGAGTCCTATTTTATAATGGGGAGTTTTATTACCCTAAGTTACAGTAAATGCATTAACAACAGCTCAGACACAAAAACAATAAGAAAAAAAAAAAAAAGAGAGATAAGTAACAGCCCAGACAAGTTACAAGCATATAATATGTTGTGATGATCCGATGGGTCGTTTTATGTACTAGCCTTTATTTCTGCGTTCCGGGACCTCCTATAGCTTCATTTGATATTGCGTGATCCGTGCCATTTTCCGAAAAAAATTTACGTAAAGTTTTGAAGAAAATGTAATTTTTGGCCTAAAATTAGACTTGAGTTGACCACAGTCAACAATCTTGGTAAACGACTTCGGATCAGTATTTTGACAATACCGGTAGGTTCGTATCATATTTTTGGACTTGTACGCATATTTGGTTGGGGTACAGGGTGACCCACGCACATTTCAGCGCGTTATGTGAAAAATTATGAAAATGAGTTTCAAAGTTGAAACTCTTAAGTTTTGATGATCGATTCTTATTATTTGGCGTTATTTTGATGATTTAAGGTAGCAAACAAGTTTGTAGGATGTTATTACACTTGTGTGCATGTTCGGTTTGGAGCCCGAGGGATTCGGGTGAGTTTTGGAAGTGTTTCGAAAGATTTTGAAATTGTTGGTACAATACCTGTTGTACGTTGGTGTTGTCTGTAGATCTCACATTGGCGAGGTATGGCTCACATTTGCAAGCTCGCTTTTGCAGTCAATAGATCGCATTTACGATAGAGGGCTAGGCAGGGCAGTCTTCAAATTTGCGAAGAAATGTTCGTAATTGCGAAAATAGCTGGATTGTTTTTGCGATGGTTTGGTCGTTTTTGCGACGGGGCACTAGAATTAGGCAGGTTTGCAAATGCGAACCTTTCATAGCATTTGTCGTGGAATGAGGCCTCACAAATGCGATGTTTTTGTCGCATTTGCGACATATGCAAGCTGAGGGCACTGTTCGCATTTGCGACTATTATTTCATTTTTTGCAATGGTCGCAATACCTGTAGCTGGGTAAAAGAGGGAAAATTGAGAATTAACTCATTTTACACCATTTTCATCCCTAAACAGTCTAGAGGCGATTTTATTGGGAGAATTTTTCCTCGAAATCATTAGTAAGTAACTTTAACTAGTTCTCAATCAATTCCCATTACTTTTCATGAACTTTTAACATCAATCTAGGATTTTAATGGTAGAAATTAGGAGTTTTGGGTAGAATTTAGGAATTTTATAAAATTGAGATTTAGACCTCAAATTCAGGTCGGTTTTCGAAACAAATTACGTATCCAAGCTCTGGGTGAATAGGTAATTGGGATTTGGTTTGAATCTTGAATTTTGATCAAGCTAACCCAGGGTTGACGTTTTTAATTTAGCTAAAGATTAAACATTTATCATTCGTGGATAGTTTCTAAAGTTTATTTTGAATTGTTTGATCGATATTTAGCTTGATTCGGTTGGTGTGGAGGCTTGTTCTAAAGGAATAGTCATGGTTGAGTATTGATTTGGTTGCGGAAAGAGGTTAGTGTAGTGTCTAACTTTGACTTGAGAGAAATAAGACTTGTTTTGTCAATTTGCTATGTGAATTATATGTGGGGGGATGCCGTATATGCCTGGTGACGAGTGTATATGCATTGTCATGGGCTAAAGCATGCGGGTTGGGCTATTTACCTTTACGATGTTATTTACTTCATGTTATATTTTGTTACATGCTTTGATTTTTATATGCCCTTACTTGTAATCCATGCCTTACTTGTTATCTGTTGTTCAATTGTTACTTGTTTCAATTTATTCTTTTTTCACTCAACATCTGTTTACTTTATATATGTTCCTACTTGTATTAATTGTATATTTTCATTGTCTCATATGTTTACTTGTTTTTATTGTCTTTACATTACTTGTTGCAATTTATTATGCTATTCTAATTAAGTTATTTAGCTATTCTTCTATTGATGAATTATCGAGGTTTGTGAACACGGGGTATGGGTTATTCTCTGTTTGTATTGGCAGTTCCTTGATGTTCTATACACTTTGTTTCCTTTTGTACTGAGATTACGAGATTGGATTGCACACTGCATCAGGTATTGTGAAATGATATTGGGTATGATAAATATTGGGATCGGATTGTGCTCCGCAACAGAGTATGATGTGTTGTAGTTTTCTGTAGATGTAGTGTTTTATCTCAGTACTGTGATATGAGGTTATTAGATGATGTTATTCTGGGGCTTTCTATTAGTTGACCTTCGGGTCCGTTCTTATGAGTTACTTACTTTTCTATATATTTCTATTGTCATTTATTATTATCCGTACATGTTTATAGTGAGTGTCTTGTCATAGCCTCGTCACTACTTCGTCGAGGTTAGGATCGACACTTACAGAGCACATGAGATCGGTTGTACTCATACTACACTTATGCATGTCTTATGCAGATTCCGATGTTGGTCCCAATGGCGCGTAGTGGGGATTTCTCAGATCCGAATTTCATAAGATACTCGAAGTAGAGCTGCATGTCGTTCGCAGTCCTTGAAGTCCCCTTCTACCCTATTTTTACTCTTTATCTTGTTTCAGATAGTTGTACTTTATTTCAGACCAAATTTGTAGTATTCTAGTCGCTCATGTACTCGTGACTTTGAAATCCTGGGAGTAGCATAGACTGCATTACTTATGTATCTATTTCAATTATTTCAGAGTTTATTAATTGTCAATTATTTTTATCCTACCTATAAATTGTTAAAATTAGTTAATACTTTCGCTAACGTTGTCTTGCCTATAGAAAGTGCATGTTAGGCGCCATCAAGGTCCCGTGGTTGGAATTTCGGATCGTAACAAGTTGGTATCAGAGTACTAGGTTGCTTTGGTCTCACGAGTCATGAGCAAGCTTAGTGGACTCTGGAGGATCGGTACGGAGAGGTCTGTACTTATCTTCTTGAGGCTATAGAGCTTTAGAAAATTGTCACAACCCAAGCATATACAATAATAACACTCTCGACAAATAATAACACACCCAAAACCCGGAATCTCATGAATCACAAAGTAGAGAAAGTACATAGTGTTCTAACTCCAGAAGTCTAAATGAAAGTAATTACAGAAGGTCTATAGCTAAAAGGTAGAATAAAGAGGGACTTCTCGGTCTGCGACGCGGCAGATATACCTCGAAGTTTCTTAAATCGCCTTGCCTCACTGATAATATGGCTGAGTAGAAGAACCTGGATCTGCACATGAAAAACAAGTGCCAAGCCTAATCTCGCTCGAGTAGTGACGAGGAAGGTCGGTGCCCTACTGGTTATATACATATTATAAGGTAAAACAGTATGAAATTTGACAGTATAATTAAAATACTAACAGTCGATAAAGAATAAAATCACAGAAAGAAAATAACTTAGTACACAGAGATAGCAACAGGGGATCTCCCAGGATATTGTCCCGTAGTCCCAAACATAAACGTGCAGAGGATCTTTCGGGATATCATCCCGTAGTCCGAATCATAAATATGCAGGGGAATCTCCCAGAATACCAATTCGTAGTCCCAAAGTAGATATCCAGTACAGAGGGATCTCCTGGGATCTTGTTCCGTAGTCCCAATTATAAATATGCAGGGGAATCTCCAGAATACCGATCCGTAGTCCCAAAGTAAACATGTAGGGGGATCTCCCGCAATACCGATCTGTAGTTTCAAAGTAAACACACAATATCAGGAAAGAATCCTACAATTCTATCCAAGTTCGTATCAGGAAAGCAAGAAATTTCTACTCTAAACATGCTACACAAAGTCCAGGTAAGTAGTTAAAGTAGGTAAGACAGTTAAGTCACATAAGCATGCTTTTCCTAAGCTAAATAGGAGGCTTCATATACTAGTGCTGCTAAATTAAAAGAAAACATAGATATTTACTTAATGAAAATGGAGGTTTTCAACAATTAGCACATGTACGCACTCGTCACTTCACGTACACAGCATTCATATAACAACAGTACAAAATCCTAAGGGGAGTTCCCCCACACAAGGTTAGGAAAGCCACTTACCTCGAACTAGCTCAAAATCAATCTGATATCATGCTCTTGCCACGAGTATCCAACTCCGAATGCCCCAAATCTAATCAAATCAATTACATAACGTAAATAAAACTACAAGCAACTATTTAACTAAAGAATTTGAAGCTACGTCGAGAAATAAGAAAAACGC